AATATTCCCCAATTGGTGAATTTAGGCCAGTGAAAGCCTACGTCACTCATGGCAAGAAGAGCAAGAATGTCATCTTGATAAAGTCTCACAATCTTGAGGTCTGGGCTCTTCTCATGAACCAGTCTATACAATCTTATATAGAGCATATCACATCTCTCTTGAAATGTTCTTCTTGACTTGGCATCAAATGGCAAAAACAGCTCATAGAATTTGGTAGTTTGACTCAAATCCAAGTTCAAATCCAAGCTCACTGGCTTTTAAGCCAACTAAGGAAATTCTTAAATTTTCTTTTTTCTCCCACCTGTAAAATCAAGACAAAAGAAACCTACCTCTTTCAATTACTTATTTACTCATTTAGGGAATATTATTTGATGTGGTCTTCTTGTATTTGAGGCACTGACAAAAAGGACATTGACATGGCAGAGGACACCACAAAGACCCTATGCTCATGGAGCTTATATTTTAAGGGGAGAGAGGGCAAATCCATATCAAACATAATAAAGGTCATCAGAAATAATAGAGCAGAAAAATACAGTAGAGAAAGGATGGTGGTTTTTGTAGAAGGAGTGATCAGGGAACTTCTCTAGTAAGATGTTTGAAGATAAGACTGAATACAAGGTGGAAATTACCTATGAGAATATTGAAGGAAGAGCATTATTGTCAGAGGGAAATACATGTATAAAGGCCCCGTGGTAGGATTCTGCTTTTCTAAAAGTAGAAGAAGGTCAATAGGGCTATGGCAGAGAAAGTGGTAAGCACCTACTAGTAGGTGCAGGTAGAGAGGTATGAGAGAACCAGGTAGGGTAGGGCAGGGATCAGCATACTAGAACCATTGGGCCAAATCCAGCCTATAGCCTGTTGGGGAACAGTCTCTAGGTAAGAATGGATTTTAAATTTTAGGAGGCTTGTTTAAAATTTTTAAGAATGTGACCATGACTTTTACAAAGAAAATTTGCCAGCCTCTGATTGGGGCTTTAGAGGCGACAGTGAGGACTTTGCACTGTGTCCAAAGTGTAGTAAGAATCTACTGTGGGGTTTTGAGCAAGGAAGTAATGTGGTATGACTTAACAGCTTTAAAAGGGTGACTCTTGCTGCTGTGCTAGTTTAGTCTGTGAGAGCAGGAAGGGACAAAGCAGGGCGCACAGTTAGGAGGCCTAGATAAGACACAATTGCAGTAGAATGTAGAATATATTTTGAAGTTGGTCCCAAAAGTTGCTTTGGATTGACTGAAGGGGTTTGAGTGGAGGAGAGTATAGGAGTGGAGGAGAGGAGAAAAGGACCCCAAGATTTTTGGCCTACTCATTCTTCCTAACATCATAGAAGCTGAATGTGAGAATGTTCTTTCTGTCCCAAGGACTTGATCTCTTTCTTCCACCATTGTATAGTCAGGATTTCATTCCTAAAGTATACCTTTGATTGACAGTCTCCTTTCAGAAGCCTATTCCAGTGTCTTATAAACAGTGAAACAAAGTCCACGCACTAAGCTACAAACTCGCCATAACCTCACTTCCCTACTCCTGTGTCTTAACTTGTTTCCAGCTATTATTGTTCCCTAGCCTCCGCACTACCCAGTGAATAATCTGCAAGTCCTCATGTGTGCTTCATGCATTGCATTTCCAGGCCTTCCCCCATGTGGTTCCCCTTTCTATCTATAGATGTCAACAGTCCCACCAAAATGTTGTGCTCTGCCTTTTCAATGAAGTTATTCCTTGATACCCTTTTCCTCCATCTAGTCTATTCTGATATTCTTTGTCTCCACCTATTTTAATGGGCATACTGTTTCCAATTGTGAGATAATTTTTTTAATACAATCTTATCTTCCTGGCAAATGACAGAAAAAGAGCATAGCATATAGTTAAGTACATACATCTTTGTTCAATCCATACTATCAACTTTAAACCTATAGGACTTTAAGCAAGTTGCATAATCTCTTTAAGCCTCAGTTTATAAGACTATAAAATAGGGTGATTACACAGTTGTTTAGCAGCATTAAGATAAGATGAAGAAGTAGTAGACTGTGATGATTAAGGTGCTAGACTCCCACATGGCTGACCTCAGTTTGAGCCTCAGACCCAGCGGGTTGAAAATCATGCTTGGCACATGTGTGTGCATTCCCAAAATCCTAAGAGGGGAATGGAGAAGAAGGGATTGCGGTCACCCCCGTGGGGGGTGGGGGGATGACTTCTTACTGTCTCTCTCTGGCAAGCACACAGACCCTATGGCAAAAACCTAAGGGGGGAAAAAAAAGAAAGAAGAGACGATTCATGATTCATGTGCAATTCCAAGTATAGTTTTATTCCTCCCATATTATTAGAGTTCATTAAGTCCCAGCTATATTAATTTGCTCTTATAGGGGAGATATGGAAGTATCTTTCTATCCCATTCTTACCAATGCTTTATACTTTGCTTTGCACACAGTGAGAAAGTGTATAGATTCTAAAAAGTAGAGTCAAATGAGTTCAGGTTCCAGTTTTGTCCCCAGGTTCAAATCTCACCACATCAGCTGTGAAATATAAGACAAAATAATTACCTTCTTTGAGCAACGTATTATTCACATACAAAATGGAGAAAATCATTCCTACCTCAAAAAGTTGTTTTGAGGAGGGCTAGGATATGTGAAGTACCTGCTGCATGGTGCGTGCCCAGTGGTAGCCATCACCATGATGACAGTTACCAAAGGCTCAGCA